TAATTTAACTTCACCATAATGAAACTTCAGACATATCTATTCTATCTAACATTTAATCTGAGTATTTCAGAACATTTGATAAGTACACTCTGTAAAAGAAACTCTGAGTCTCTCAGATCATTTGACTATTATCAAACTCTGAATCTAAAATTTGCAAGACATTCTGACTTTCAAATGTTAAAAGAACTATCAAGATCTAACTCTGAAGATTACTCAAGACAAAAGGGAAGTTTCTATTCCTCATCTGTATTTAACTCAGGGGGAGATTCATCATCTCAGAGGAAGTTATAATTTTAATATTTTCAATTAAACAAAAATTCTGATGTTTTTGTCATCATCAAAAAGGGGGAGATTGTAAGAACACAGATTGGTTCTTAATAATATCTCTATGTTTTGATGATAACTATTATGAAATTTTGTATTTAAGAATTATATACTCTAAAATTTGCTTGAGAGTTTTTACTGCAGATAGTAAAGAAATTAACACTCCAGAAGCAAATCAGAATTGAACACAAAAAATTAGCTAGACTCTGAAGCGCCAGATGCATTAATTAGAAGATTCTGATTGCTGCCAACAGAAGATTCTGAGCGTAGCCTCCAGAAGATTCTGAAGCAGAAGCTCCAGAAGGATCTGAAGCATAAGCTCCAGAAGAATCTGAAGCAAGTCAGAAGCATCTGAAGCAAAGAAGAATTTTGTATGAAGAGCTTTTAAAAGCATAGTTTCTACAAAAGATTCTGAAAGTACTAAAGCTGCCAGTACTGAAGTTCTGTCTCAAATATGCTCTAATATTAAACACGCCGAAAGCACACCTGCTGCAGAAGACTCTGATTCAACAAGACTCTGATCATCATCATAAGACTCTGACCCAATTAGACTCTGATGAACTTGCTGAAAACTGAAGAAGAAATATTCAAAGATTATATCCGTTGGAGTAAATCAAACGTCTCTTTCCTTATTTATGCTAGACACAAGAACACAGACAGAAATGATTTTTTTGTGCTTTCTTCTTCTAGGAAAAGTCACTTGATGTGAAGACAAAAAGGCTCAGACCTTTTGGACACTCTTCTCAACGTGAAGCTCACCTTGGATCAGCTGCCTATAAAAGCAAGACTCCACCAAATTCTTCAGTTGACGTTAGCATTCAAAAGAAATCAAATATTCAAGCTCTCATATTTTCATATTCATTCTTAGAATTTATTTCATTGTACTTAAACTTAAGAGAAATATCACAGTTGTGATTAAAGCTTTTTAGAAGCATTCTTACTCTTGTAATAGTTTTACATTGATTGTAAAAGATTTCCTTAAGAGGATCCAGTTGGGATCAGTAGCTCTTGAGAAGACTAAGAACAGTTGTTCTTAGGTGTTACTATTGTAATCAGTTTGATTTATTAGTGGATTAAGTCCTTGACTGAGAAAGGCAAATCACTCTAGGAAGGGTGGACTAGAGTAGTTGAGTTCAACGAACCAGGATAAAAATACTTGTGTTTTAATTCTAATTTTTAATCTTTCATACTTATTCAACCCCCCTTCTAAGTATTACCTCATCTTCACTAACCAATACGATAACATTAAGCTTTGATAGTTTGTGCAGATACTAAACCTAAATCTATCTCTAGAGTTTATCATCTAGTAGATAAAAATATTTGATCTAGAATTGACAAGCATCTCTCAGTATCGAGTTAAAACCATGAAAACATGTTTAAGTAGATAACTCAAAACAAGAACTAAACACAGAGAATTCATCAATATTAAAGCATAAGAAGAATTACATTGAACTCCATGACCACAATAAATCCTTGAGCATTTGGATGACTACATCTAATCTCAACAAAAGAGAAATTAACTACCCTTACTCATAGCAGTGTTATAGTGATTATCTAGAAGAAATATGTTGAAGAGCATCTGTGTCGATTCCTCGGACATCACTTCAGTCCTCAATCTTCCTCTCCTTTTCTCTCATATTATGGTTAGGGTATCAAGTGTGTTTCTTCCTCAAACGTATCAGAACTACCAAGAATCCATTCTAAGTTATTTAACAGAACTGTTTAGAACTCATATTTATAGAGTTCTGATGCAACCTCATCGCTAAGCAAGGCTTGTATCTCGCTTAACGCGCATATGTTTCTTCTCTGCTAAGTCAAACTAATTGATCTGCAAGTTGTCTTTGCCAATATACCTTGCTTAGCGCGTTGTTCATTCCCGCTTCGTGATCAAACACTTTCTTGCCTTTGAAGTAACTTACCCAAGAATAAATGATCTGTCATAACTCGCTTAGCGAGTTTGATACTGAGCTTAGTGAGCTTTGTTGCTTAATATTGAATTTTCTTGAGTCTTAAGTCATATTGTGTCGTCATTTCTTGCTCACAGCAACCATGTTTTTGTCTTAGCGAGCATCTCTTCTTGGAAGGTGGTTTGTTCTTGCTTGGAAAGGTTTTTAAGTTTTTTTTGGTGTTTTCTTGGTTCTTTCTACTTGTACATTATGAATACATAGTTAAAAAGTTCATACAAGAGTTGTATATCCTTTTATGATAAATTGAGATTTTTTACAGTGATTACTTTATAGTTAAGTTAATAAGTGCTTATGTATTTTACATATTTTAGGCACTTATCAATGAGTTGCCTCAGTGAGAGGGGTAACTAAGTAGTATTAATTTTGAAGTGCCTCACCCTCTTCGAATGAACCTCGACCATCTTGGTGCACTTCCTGAGAGATATTAGACCTTGACTCTGCATCGAGCCACCAGAGTTGCATTGGGTTTTAAAGAGATGTAATAAGAGCACCATGGTTATCACACCATTCTCATATCCACACCTATAATGGAATACCTTGATGTAAGCCCAACTCATAAGATGCAATTATAAATGGGTGATTAATAAATGATTAAGCACGTTGACCTCAAAATTGTTGAAGGTGAAATGGAAACCTATTAAGGAAAATTGGAATTCGTGAAAAAGAACAACACACTTGTCATATTTATTACATATCCTCTTGTTTTCCTCAAGGGGAATCACTCCCAATCTTCAGAAAGTCCCACCTCCGTAAAGGCGTGGTCCAAACCATCCTCATAACAAAGGTGTGGGTAGTATCAAACATCTCTTAGTCCACCTAAACCAGGGAGTTATCTCATCTTTTTTCCTGATTCAGGGTTGGAGGTTCTCTATTGTAAGTAATTATGTCAAAGCATAAAAGAAATTAGTATGAATAGCAATGTGAAACAAGTTAAAGCTAAGTCTCATGTTCTTGCTAAAGTACATACGTGAGAAAGGAATACACCTAGTTCCAAATAGGAATACTAGAAACCCTAGTGTCCTCTAAAAGTACATGCGACCACGTAATAAGGCACATCAATGACAATTTCCTTCGTCAAACCCTATAACTCTCTTCTCCAAAAACCCTAGCAAATAAAGTAAGACCAAAAGAAAGGGAAATTTGGGTGTTAACTTAAATAGATAAATTTGAGGGCTCACGCATTGCAAGAAGAAGGACCGGTAAGTTAGAGATGAAGACCTATGCAAGAAGGTTGGCGCAAATGGAAGAAGTTGTAGACAAAGGGGAATAAGAATTTCCCAAGCCCATTAGTGATGGAAAAAGGGAAAATGGTGGTTTAGAAACTTTTGTGCATCTCAACAACAATGAACTGTAACATTGGGAATTACAAGCTACACCACTTACAACCAATATCCTCTCGAAATCTGTTAACGACATTTAAGTATCCTAGGATAGTGAGGATATCATATTTGTCAGACATAGGGACACACATCAAGACTTCCCTACGAAACATTGTTTGTCAAGAGAAAAACATTTAATGTATCTCTTTCCAATGCTAATGACGCCCCATTAAAACTATCAACTTATTTCTACTATCAACCGACATAAACGTGTGCCCGATGAAACCCCCGTTCTACAAAATAGGAACAAGGGCTTGAAGTACAATTATCCAGGGTTGTGCGCAAGACCCGTGACAAAAGGCCCAAGAACGAATTCTAAGTAGAAAGATGCACGTAATAGATAGAACTTCACTAAGATCATAAGCAAACACTCCAACACTCCAACACATCAATCACCGTCAAATTCAATCAGACGGTTGTCTACACAACACACCACATTACACACGAACGATTTCAACCACTCTTAATATATAAGGAAAAACATGTCATTTTTAAATATACAAATGTATTCACACTTTCATATTATTTTTTATCCTCTCATGACTTGACTATTAGAATATTAATCTTGCAGAACCACCATATTCTATCAAATTAAAAATATTGTTCACCATAATAAGACATTGCTCCAACACCTGTTAACCAAACAATAAATATATACATATATCTGGCATAAATAAATACCTACTAAAAAAAAGAATATTTCACAATTTTAAAAATATTTATTTTGAAAAATGGATGTATGAAAAAAAACAAAATAATGAATGAAGGTTCTCATATATTTAACCCTGCTTTATCTTTTGATAAATTCATTTATTTATTTTGCAAAGTTTTTAAATTAAAATGTCCCTAATTTTGCCACATGATCATGACATCTCCAAATAAAGTAGGAGAATCTTAAATAAAACAAAACAATAATAATAAAAAATGGTAGCGATTAAAACCGTTATTGTCCACAGCCCATGTATTACACAAAACCGAAGCAACAACATTATCCACAATATTAATTAATCTCAATATTGGAAACATTCATTCAACATTTCCATCTCTATTATTACTTTCCTATTCTGTTTAAAACCATCATTATTATCTTTTTTATATCAAAGGGCAAAACCGTCTTTCAATATATTCAAATCCATTCTCGAACATGGTGATCCACTACACCAAAACCATTAGCAAATCAGGAAACGGAAAAGGGCAAAATCGTCATTACGAAAGTCAAATAAAAAATTTCTTAATTCATATAATTCATGTGCATATTTATACACGTTTCGATTCTCTGAGAATTTCATAAGCTGCATGCGTTAAGATATTTACAGCGAAATTTTTGGGAATGGGAAAGAGTTTGTTTCAAGAATCTCTCAAAGCTCTAGAAGCTGATATTCAGTATGCTAATACACTGTATGATTCTCTCTCTTTTCATCCATTTTTTTAGATTGTTGATTCAGTGAAAATTTAGCTTCAGAACCATATAATAATGTTTGTTTTTCTCCTAATTTTCAGATTAAAAATTGAATTTTTTTGGGAATAATTTGTGGTTATCTTGTGCTTTTGGGAGCAATTTCAGGGTGTTTTTGCGTTGTTTGATTAGTTTTATCCTGTTTAATGTTTTAATTTGTTTTTCTCTTGTTGAAAGTACCGTGTTTGATTGTTATATGATATGGAAATCTTGTCCATGATGTGTTTGTTTTTGGGCTGAGTGAGGTTTGAATCCGAATTTTGAGATTTTTTTCATCTGTTTAGTGCTGTATCTTTTTCAGGGCATTAGAGCATCCAAGGGATAAAGAAGGAGGATGCTTTCAGATGAGGCTATCATACAGTCCAGTGGCTCCACTTTTTCTGTCTCTTGTTCAATGGACTGATTACCGACTTGCTGGTGCTCTTGGTTTGCTGAGAATTCTAATTTTTGTGGTATATTTCATAAACCACATTTTATGCATACTTGTATGTCTATTTTGAAATTTTATTTTCTTTATTTGTCCTTAGCACACACTTCTGATGAAATGCATGTCTGGTGGCAAACATGTGGCCGGTGTCTCCCGTGTCTGAAATGTGTCTGGTGACAAATATGTGTCATGTATATCTGTGTCTGAAATGTATGTCCGGTGACAAACATGTGTCCTATATATCCGTGTTTGTTTCCGGTGTCAAACATGTGTCTTGGATATCCGTGTTTGAAATATGTGTCACGTGTCAAACACGTGTCCGGTGTCTCCATGTCACGTCTCCGGTGTGAAACATGTGTGTGACATTACACTGATTGCATTCAATTAATTTATTTCTTCAAATTTTTATCAGTGTTGACATGTATCATGTTTGTATGAGTGTCTGACATATCAGTGTCGTGTGAGATGTCTGCGGGGACCTCAGATAGAGGCTTAGCAGAACTATAGTACTGTAGTGATGTGGAGCTTAAAACATACTGCTATTTTCTGCTATCTACAAATAACAATAATGGTCCTTCCATAATATTCATGTTTGGTACTTATATTGGCATTATCTGTTTTTAGATAATTTAACAACGTTTTATTCTACATTAATGCAGACATATGGAAATGGGAAAACTACTATTTCAATATATGAAAGGAAAGCGAGCATAAGACAATTTTATTGTAAGTTTAATGTTGCTGAATGTATACTTATCTAGTTTCATTATGCCTATTTCTCTTTCAGGGTGTTTCTAGAATCTACTTTTATGTTCTTGATGATATTAATCAACAAATACTAAACATGGTTTTTCTCTTTTGTTCATGATAAACAGCGGTTATATTTCCTGCTCTATTGCAACTTCAGAAAGGCATCACAGATTTGGAAGAAAGGAAACAAAAAGAAGTATATGCTATTAGATACCAAAAGAAGACCGATTTCAAAGATAGAAGAGAATCTGAAATTGACATTGAGAGAGAACAGGAATGTGGAGTTTGCTTGGAAGTGAAAGCTAAAGTTGTGCTGCCTAATTGTTGCCACCAAATGTGCTTTGAGTGTTACACAGACTGGTACAATTCTTCATACTTTCCCATCCATCTTAGATTCTTTCCAGTTATATTTGTATATCACATCATATTTTTGACCTAAAAAGCACAGACACCAACACATACATTGAACACAGAGACTAACATGTTGACACCACTAATAATTTGAAAAAAATGAATCATAATTGTCGATGTCGGACACGGTCACATCTTTTTATAAGAGGAGTGTTTTGGACATAAAACTAAGTTTGATTTTTTGGTACATAAAACCAAGTTTATATCTGACTTTTTGTGCATCCTTTTAGTTAATGGAGTTTTAATGTTGCCATTATATTTTTGTTGATCACTTAAATGATGTCCATGATTGAGTTTTCTTTGATATCAATGAAAAAATCTTTTTATTGGTCTTTTTGAAGCAATGATCCTGAATTCCCTATCAAACATTTTAGTCACAAAAGTTAAAATTGAAGCCTCATGAATTCAGAGATTGCTATCAATTTGCTTTTACTTTATCAAAAGCAGCCATTGCTTTTATGTTTTTCAACAATGACCTTCCTCTTTGCACTTTAGAGTTTGGTTTGAGATTTTTTTAAATATTTTCACCTTTAGTTATGAAATTGTTATCTTGTTTAGACGCGTGTCAGATTGTGTCAAATAATAACGCAGCTTGAACACTAGACACGTGTCATATAGTAGACAAAGTTTCAATCTAAATATTTTTGAAATCACAAGGTGACAAGTTGCACCCCCTCACCTACCCAAAGCTTTTTTTGCTTGTATTAGTTGACTTGACACCTTAATGATAATTTTAAATAGTACTAATTAGTTGCTAATTTAGTCTACATTCATTGTTTTATAACATGACAATGCTGTTTTTTTATTCAGGTGTCTTAGGTCTCAGTCTTGCCCCTTTTGCCGGGATAGCCTGCAGAGAGTAAACTCTGAGGACCTTTGGATTTACACTGACACAAGTGATATTGTGGATGTTGGAACAATTTTCAGAGAGAATTGTAAGATTCTGTTTATTTACATAGAAAAGTTGCCTCTTATTATTCCAGATCCCAGACATGTGTCCTATGATCCATTTTTTAGGTAAGGGTTGTCTAGAGGTTTCGAACTCTATATTGCCCTTTCATTGTACATGTAAATCCATTTTGGATCATAATTAAAATGTATATAAATTCTACTGTTTTCTTTACTCTCTGCTTCAAGTTGATATAGTTTATTTCTAACATAGAATTCAAACTTTTTGTTATCCACAACCACAGGGGTATTTTGGTTATTCCCTTAAATATTATAATAATGTTCTTAGGATTGAGATGAAGAATTAAAAAAAAGCACAGTAACCTTATCCTTTAGCTATGGCATTTTAACTTAATTTATTATCCATTAAGTGTACAAAACGACATTGATGAGAAAGGGACTGTGTCACATTTATCTGATGTGTAGGCTCCACCCACTTGATAAGATTCCATTTTTTCATGATATTTTGATGCTTGTTTGAAAGATTGCTTTAAACAAGAGGTGAAATGTCCATATCTTGATCCCATTTTGACTTTAATGCCCATTTTTTTTCTATGTCTGCCTTGTGAATCCAACAAGTCTCTTGGAAAATGGAGTATAAATATTTATTCTTTTGAACTTTAGTACATTATTTTTCAGATGTATATGATCTTAAAAGGATGTATAATTCATATTATAATTGTTCCAGTACTTATAAAATTTTTAAGATTAGTTATAAAATTTGTGAAATTAATTACAATTAATTATTGTGAGATTAGTTATAAAGATGTGAATTAACTGAGACTTTTATATATATATATATATATATATATATATATATATATATATATATATATATATATATATATATATATATATATATATATATATATATATATATATATATATATATATATATATATATATATATATATATATATATATATATATATATATATATATATATATATATATATATATATATATATATATATATATATATATATATATATATATATATATATATATATATATATATATATATATATATATATATATATATATATATATATATATATATATATATATATATATATATATATATATATATATATATATATATATATATATATATATATATATATATATATATATATATATATATATATATATATATATATATATATATATATATATATATATATATATATATATATATATATATATATATATATATATATATATATATATATATATATATATATATATATATATATATATATATATATATATATATATATATATATATATATATATATATATATATATATATATATATATATATATATATATATATATATATATATATATATATATATATATATATATATATATATATATATATATATATATATATATATATATATATATATATATATATATATATATATATATATATATATATATATATATATATATATATATATATATATATATATATATATATATATATATATATATATATATATATATATATATATATATATATATATATATATATATATATATATATATATATATATATATATATATATATATATATATATATATATATATATATATATATATATATATATATATATATATATATATATATATATATATATATATATATATATATATATATATATATATAATCACTAATAACAACTCTTCTCAATAACAAAAATTTCACAAAATATTTTTCTAGAAGCAACTTAATGTCTTTATTTTCTTTACTCTTAAGAAACACAAGATTGGTCCAATAAACTGATATTAAGGAGATCGATTAGGTTCAGTTATTTGCAATGGCAAATGGGAGCACAACATCGAATCAATTTTCAGCAAATATATCCGTTTTCAAAAGTAAAAATTATGAGAGGTGGATTGCATAAATGAATGTCATATTTAGATTTTAAGATGTGGTTGAAATCGTGAATGATGGAGTATCGACATTGGAGACAAATGCAAATGATGCTCAAATGGCTGCACATATGAACAAAGGAAGAAAGATGGGAAAGCTCACTTCTTGATTCATCAGCGCGTGGATCCAAATGTCTTTGAGAAAATCATCGAAGAAGAAATGGCCAAGGAAGCATGGGATAAGTTGAATAAGCTGTATGGTGGAGATGAGAAGTTGAAGATAGTAAAATTGCATACTTTGAGAAAGCAATTTGAGATGACTCAAATGAAAGAAGACGAATTAGTTTCCGATTTCTTCTCACGAGTGGTGAATTAATCAATGATTTGTCAAAGATCGAGAAAGTGTTGAGATCTATAACTGTAAGTTTTGATTACATTGTAGTGTCGATAGAAGAACTGGTAACAAGAACCAATTCATCATGTTGGATGCATTACTGAAGAAGGTGATCAGATTTGTAGATGGCATACATGTCACATTAGAAGGAAAAAGAAACATAACTGTGGTGAGAAAAGATGGTTAGAAGGTTACCATTTTTGATGTACTTTATGTACCTTTTATGATATGTAATTTGATAAGCATAAGTCAATTACTTGAAAATGTTATAACATGAAGATTGCGGATAATCAAATAAGGTGTATGATGGTGAATGAAGATTGATCTTGAGAGCATTATTGACAAACAATAAAACCTTCAAGATTAAGTTCAATATGGTTGATCATCAATGTCTTGCTTCAGCTATAAAAGAAGACAATAATTGGTTATGGCATCACAAATATGGACACTTGAACTTCAGAAGTTTAAGTATGCTCAACATGAAGAAGATGGTGTATGATCTATCTCAAATAAAGGAGCCAAGTCAAATGTGTGAAGAATGTTGTTGAGCTAAACAAGCAAGAAAGTCATTCAAACATGACTTGTCTATGAAGTCAAAACAAAAGCTGGAGATTGTTCACTCTGATGTATATGAACCTTTTGAAGTGAGATCAAATAGAGGTAACTACTATTGCCAAATTTTCATATATTACTTTACAAGACACATGTGGATTTATATGATTGAAAGAAAGAGTGATGTATTCACACAGTTCAAGAGATTTAAATTGCATGTTGAAAAACAAAGTGAATCCAATATTAAAAAATTGAGAACTGATGGTGGAGGTGAATACACTTCCATGGAATTTGCAAAATTCTATAATAATGAAGGCATAAAGCATGAGATCATTGTACATTATACACCACAACATAATGAAATAGCCGAAAGGAAGAATATAAGTATATTGAACTGTGATAGGAGTATGTTGAAAGCTAAGGGTGTGCCAAAGAGATTTTAGGGTGAAGCAGTTTCAACAACAATGTACATACTTAACAGATGTTCAACCAAGAAGATGTTTCACAAGACACCTTATGAGGCCTAAACAGAGTTGAAGCCAAATGTTGGCCACTTCAAGGTGTTTGGATCAATGTGTTTCAAGCATGTACATGAACAATTGAGATGAAAGTTAGATAATAGAAGTAAAGTTATGGTCCTTATAAGTTATCATTCAACTAGTGCTTACAATTCATATTCACCAAATGAGGATAAACTTGTGATCAATAGAGATATTCAAGTATATGAGAGCAAGATCTAGAACTAGACTTAGAAGTGAGTTCAAAATATGCAAATACAATTAGAACAGTGCTTGAAGGTGATCAACAACAACAAAAATAGTTGCTCAAAGTGAAGGAACATCTGAACAAAATGTTAGAAGTTCTACTAGAACGAGATCTGAATAAGTAAGGTAAACTAATTATGAAAGATTTCCAGACCAAACAATTGATGTAGAAGGTGACTTGATAGAAGAGGCAATGATGGCTGAGTCAGAATTGATTGATTTGAATCAAGTAATGAATGATTCAAATTGGTTGGAAGCTATGCAAGAAAAACTTAGAGTAATTGAAAGAAACAAAACTTGGGAGCTCATGGATAGATCAAGCCAGAAGCCAATTGAGGTAAAGTATGCGCAAGTTCTCCTGGAGGCTGAAGCTAAAGTAGACGCTTTGGATAAGAAGAAGAACACAACTCTTCATTATGCAGCAAGTTATCTAAAGAAGGAATGTGTGACCTTGCTACTTGAAAACTGTGTTGTAGTTACTTTGTAGAATATGGATGGAAGAACTCCTATAAATGTTACAAAGCTAAGCAATCAAGATGATAAGAAGATTAATGTTGGCTACTTATTTATGATTAGAGGTTCTCCAATCTTTTAGAGTTTAAGGAAGCAAGGAATAATAGCATTATCATATTATGAAGCTGAATATGTAGCAACTTCTTATACAACATGTCAAGCTTTATGGATAAAAATGTTGCTAAAAGAGCTAAAGATCATGGAACTGTGAGATGAGATTTTCGACCTGAGAAGAAAACTCAACCAATGGGTGTAACGCATATGAAAGTTATGGTTCACCCATAACTTGGACTTAAGAAAAATATTGGTGTTGTTGAGAAGTCTTCGAAACTTATCCCTTCGACCAGTTGGACATGGCGTCGCAACAAAGATGTTTGAAGAGGTAGTTATTTGGGCGCGATTATATAATGTTTAAACTTTAGATAACTGCCTAAGTTCTTATCTTAGAAGAGACACATGGGGACCGACAAAAGGCGAGTTGCATGCAGTATTACACGTGGTGTGCTGGGGGGAAGAGAACGTTAGATGGTAGTTATTGCAGATTTGTATATATAGTAGTTCATTTGATTGAATTGGAGGTGTTCATTTTTTTACAAAATTCTCACTAAACAAACTCAAAGTATCAAGTGTAAGATAAACAAGAGAATGGATGAGAATGTGTAGCATAATGAAACACCATTATTTTACCATTCATGCAAAGCTTTTAAGATTCAATAAAGTCATTAATCTTAGTTTATATTTCTATTACTTTCCATTGTCATTTTCCAATTTTGCTTTTTATCTTTATTTTCAAGTTTACCAAATACTTGTTGTTTTTCATTTCAAAGTTTCTTGTAAGAAGTTTTGAATAATGGATTCCTTGTGTCATGTAGACATATGTTCTTTGACTGAGTCGAACTCAATCATACTAAGGACAAGATAATTACCAAACAAATAGGAATCTTAAGCATTATGTCCGGAGATTCACTG